TTTCGAGTCATATGGGGTCTCTCCGCATGCCGGACACTCATTTGGCACATCCTCATTCAATCTACTCAGGTAGGAGTTTAACCTGCTGCAGTAGCCAGAGCGGAGTTGGGCTATTGTCGTTCGTGTCTCCCGCGGCAGATAAAGCTCCGTCTCGTCTATGTCCGGTGGCGGTATGCCTAGAACGGCATTCACAGGTCTAGAGTCTACATAACTCGAGACAGACTCCCTGTGAATGCCGTTCAGGGCCAGTCGGTAAGCTGACGGGTCCAGAGGTTGCTTGATGAACCTCTGGACTTCGTCCGTCAGTTCATATAGATGCCTCCTGACGTGCCTAGGCGAGGGCTCCTTTGCAAGCAGCTGTCTGTTTGGGTGGCCACTTCTGTGGCTCCCGATCAGGAACTGCTTGCAGAACATTATGTTGTGCTCCTTTATGGGGAGCATTTGTGCCTCGTTGTGGAGGTGATGTTCGCGCGACATCAGGAGGCATCCTGTCGCTGTCCTGAGTGCGGTGTTCTGTACAGTCAGTAGCTTCGTCCACTGCGTCCTACTAGTCCCCGGCGACCACACTGGCGCTGCGTAGCTTAAAACCGGCCGGCCTATTGCCTTGTATGATGCCAGCAACGACTTGAGGACCTTGTTGCGGCTCTGTACTTTATTGACAATAGCGGTTGCATGCGCAGAGAAGGAGAGCAGGCTGTCGAATGTTACTCCGAGTATTAAGGGATTATTCGCCTTCGGAATTGGTGTGTCAACGACGTGAATTCCCAGCGACAGCCTGACCTCCTTCGTCCAGGTTGTAAACAGGGTCGCTGAGGACTTCGTAAGGGAAGATACCCGTTTACTTTCGAACACAGGTCATCAATTCCATTCCCAGTCGCCATGATCGAGCAATCGTCGGCGTAAGAGACAATCGAGACTCCCTCTGGTGGTTGAGGGAGCTTTGAAATGTAAAAGTTAAACAGTAGCGGGACCCATGGCTTTGGAGGATTTCGCCTTCCCGATGGCCACCGGAACTTCACCGCAAGTGAAAGCAAGGGGGGCACAATTTGGTGGCAGTTTGTGCAGCCTTCTGGTCACTCGACGCTTGGTTTTGTCCACCGGAGGATGCAGTATGAACTGCCGGCTAAGTAGCTCGCGCATCGCTCCGAGTCCGACGAGGCATGGTCGTCGAAAGAAATTTCGACTCTGTCGTCATGCTTCGTCGGATTGGACAGCGACCTCACGGTTTACCAAAGCTTACTCACACCAGAGGTGAAGTTACAGGTCTTCAGATGTTCTTCTCACTTCTTCCGCTTATGTACTTCACTAGTTGCCGAATCTCCGCGTTGAGATCCCTGATACGTGGATATCCGGGATCGGCCTGACGAAGGCTGTCATGCTCATCGGCTAGAACAGCCGCTTCGGCAGGGAAATTTGGACGTGGGTCCGTGATGCATCCTGCCGGTACGAAGCGAGCTGCAGCAGCGGTGACAGCCCTGCGGAACTTACGTTCACCAAGGTGGACGTCGGTTGGTGTGGGGAGAGCAGCGAAGGTGTTTTCAGTAAATTCCGCGAAGCCTTTCCAATCAGCTTTGCAGAAGTGGATATAGGTTCGGTACTCCGCGGAGCAAAGTCGGTTGTTTTATCGATCGAGATGACTTTGGGCAGATGGTCCGATGCCAAAGTCAGCATAGGTCGCCATGATATGCTGTTTATCAGACGTGTGATAATGCGGGGTGTGAGAGATGTGTGTGGCCGTGACGCCATTGGCTGTGTGCGCTGCTGAGGTGGTTGCCGCCCTGTGGTGATGGTGGGTGGCGTCGCGGTTGAGGTTTGCGACCGTGCTGCGCAGCACGGGCCCTCGAAGTTCCACGTCCAATCTCGCGTGGTGCGCAGACCTGAACATGCCCTAAAGTGGCACCCGCCAAGACAGGTGTTGCACTTGACTGAAGTCACATTACGGAAGATCCTGGTCTGACATACCGTGCAGATTGTAGGCGGCGGCGTGTAGGTGTTAGTGCGGTTGTGTGTGTTCTGTGGTCTGTCGCGGTTGTGGTGTGGTCTATTGTGTTGTTATGTTATTGTCCTGTGGTGTTTGTGTGGGGCTGGGGTTAGCCGTGGAGGCTGCTCTGCCTGAGCAGCAGGGGCCACTGCCGGTGTGTCCGTAGTCCTGAGCAGACTCTGAGGTGACTCCACCCCTCGCAAGCATTGCACTTGACTGAGGTTAAGTTGTGGTGTAGTCGTCTCTGGCATACACAGCAGGAGTAGGTTTCTGGCCCTGGGTTTGACTCGATGCCAACCCTGAGCAGAAGAAAACGTGGCGAATGTAGCCCTATGGACGAACAACTTCTGAGATACTTCGCCGACCTAAACGGGGTTAGATCGCCGAAACAACAGCCCTTGGTCAGGTAAAACCCGAGTCATTCCGGTACGTAGAACCGGAAACCGGGAATGCCGTAATCTTAATCTTTATTGTTAGTTAGGGACTATAATTAAAAGGTTAGTTTATTTATGCATTTATTATGGCGGAAGTATGTATGTGTATTGCTTATTTTATATGGCTTTTGTTTAATTTCATGTACATATATTGTTTTTATCTTTCTTTGGTCCTTTTTTTGCTTCTCTTTGTCGATATTTAAATCAGCAATTCGTTGTACTGTAAAAGATGATATCTTATTGTACTAATGTTTATAAATTTAATAAAATACCATGTTCGAGTACTCTACCATGAACACTTCCGGAGATATGCATTATGAAAAGTTCGGTTTTTATGGGAGGTGCCGCGCCCTTTTTTCCAATTGCTCCAATTTATTTACATGATTATGCGATTGATTTCATATATTTCCATTCCATGTTCGAGTACTCTACCATGAACATTTCCGGAGTCATGCAGTATGAAAAATTCCGTTTACATGGGAAGTGCCACACCCCTTTTCCAATAGCCCCAATTTTTCCTGACTGCGATTGATTTTATATATGAACACATCCAGTGATGTGCAGTGTTAAAAATTCGGTTTATATGAGAGGTGCCACGCTTCTTTTTCCAATAGCCCCAATTTTTCTTCATGACTATGCGATTGATTTTATATATCTTGTACATACCAAGTTCCTGTACTCTACCATGAACACTTCCAGATATATGCAGGATGAAAAATTCGGTTTGTATGAGAGGTGTACATATAAATAGATTGTCCTCATTTTCGAGCTTAACTCCCTAATCGGTAATTAGAAAAAGAGATTCGCCATACAAAATTTTTCCCTTGTTAATCTGTAATTATAAAATAATCTCAGAATAAACGGATAAGTGTTCGGTGTCCAACCTAGTTTTATCGATTATTTTTGCGTGAAGAGGAGAAATGGCAAATGTAAAAGTAAGCAAAATGGATACTAGCAAGGAAAAGAGGTTTGTAAAGGTATTTTTAATAAAATATTAAATTAAAGTATACTTAAATTGCTTAATATAGCAGAAAAAATGATCATGGTGACACAGAGAAGAAACATAACTTTTCCTGGAGATGTGAGAATACCAAGCCCAACAAATTTAACGGCTAATCTGAGATTTGCGGGTGTAAACATGGTGAATAAAAAATGAGCTTTGATTAAGATAATATTTATGTGTTGAGCAGAACCCGATATATAAATATTTGAAGAAGTACATGATTAGTCAGAATCATGACAAAATCCAAACTTTGACAGATCATATCTCCGAAGAAAAAAATTAAAAAAAAACTTCCTCGAATACGTGTTAGCTTATTTCATGTATAGAATCGGAATCGAATCGGAGACATGATATTTTTTTGCGAAATCCGTCCGACTTGAAAATAATGGCTCATATATCTATGTAACTACATACAGTGGTCGAAGAAATAATAGAAACGTTTTATTCTAACCAGTTTTGGCTATATTACTTTTGTTTATTCGATGTTTAATATTTTTTTCTAACAGTCTAGCGCATTATATAACACATATCGTATAAGTCCACATTTCAAACTTTGTACAAAAGTTATAAAAATTCAACAAATTTTACCAAAATAGCCCAAAGACTTCAAACTTCTTAATTCGATTTTTTTAAATTTTAGCTATGCAGTTTTATAGCACATTAAATTTTAATTTAAAGTGCAAATCTCAAGACACTAGACGCTGATTTTTAATAATTTTTTTTTTGGCTAACCGTGTTTTGCATTTTGTTTCATATAATATATAGCGTCTACAAAAATTTTACTAAAAATCAACGCGATTGAGATTTGCACTTTAATCTACTAAAACTTAATGATCTAAACAACTGCATACCAGAAATTTTTCAAAAAAAATCTGATTAAAAAGTTTGAAATTTTTGGGGGGTTTTTGGTAAAATTTTTTGAGTTTTTATAATTTTTGTACAAATTTGAAATGTGTATTTATATGGTGCGTGTTATATAATGAGCTAGACTATTATACAAAATATTAAACATCGAACCAATATAGCCAAAACTGGCCAAAATAAAAAGTTTCTACTATTTTTGTATTTGAAAAAACTACCTCCATAATTTGTATAAAAAAATGTAAAAATTCGCCATTTTGTTTTGAGTCACTATTTAGAACTGTACTTAGAACTTTACTTAGAATAGTATCTAGTTTATTGTGTATTCAATTTTAAATCAATCGATAATAAAATGTCTGAGATATAGCGAGTTTAATTTAAAATTTCCCAAAAATTTGCCGCTGTGAAAAATCAGTTTTTTTGGCTTTTATGGCATGAAGGCATCAGTAAAAACTTGGTTAAAATTAACGTTAAAATTAACTGTAAATATATTTCTGTGTAAGCTATCGATTACAATAGGATTCAACTGGTTACTTCGACCCAAACACCTCTCGGGGGTTTTTTGTGTATAATCCGCACGCCTATACGTATTATATACGAAATGTCTCTTTTTGTTAGGCGTTCATTTTGCTTAAGCTTACATATTTGGAAAATTAAGTTTTTGTATTTAGATAAAAACGGCTAATACTACCCATATATACATATGTAATTTTTGTTCCAGAAGCTGATATAGTGCTAACAAAACAAGAATGCTGCGGTTGTAAAAATAAAGTAAGTTTGTGTGAATGCCAAACTTTAGACGAAACAATCGACAAAACAAACAAAGCATTACAAGAAATAGAACTTTTGGATGGCATCGCAGGACAAAGCCTGACATCCCTGGTTCAGAAATGCATAGAAGAGCATATTAAGGACACGTGCCATGGAATATTTGATAGGAGCTTTCTAAGACAACTTGAGATGGTAAGTCATTTTATTAGTGCTAATATGTGTTTACAATGATTACGACTCAGAATAGTTTGGTCTTCGATTATGGTATTTATGGACCGAGAGCTTACGGCAATGTTAATGTAGTTTGAAGTTTGCATATAGTCTTTTGGTGACTTCTTATGGCAGTCCGAAGTACTGCGTCCCACGACAGCCGGTTCTACGTACCGGAATGTCTCGTGTCTTACTCGTCCAGAGGCTGTTGTTTCGGCGATCTAACTCTGTTTAGGTCGGCGTAATCCATAGGGCTACATGTGCTTCGCACACTACTTCTCAGGGCTGGCATCGAGTGAAACCCTGAAACAGAAACCTACACCTGGTGGGTGTGCCAGGAACGACCCAATCGGATGTAACTCCTATAACTGGTGGAGTTACCTTCGAGCTTGGTCAGGGCTCAGAACTCAACGGCAATGGACCACGTCACACAGTGGTTCAGATAGCAAGTCTAGCTGGACGAAACTATTTAAACAAATACTCTTTGATAGATTTTTAAGCCACTTCTTATCTGGTGGATTTTTGGGTCGCTGATTACGAATCTGAAGTCACTTATCAAAAATTCAAAATTGCGGATCCAGTATGGCGGACGAGAAAAATTAAAAAAATCGGTAGATTTATATAAAACTGGATATCTGGAGATTTTCTGGTTCGCTGATTACGAATCTGAAGTCATTTACCAAAAATTCAAAATGGCGGATCCAGTATGGCGGACGAAAAATTTATAGAATCCGTAATTTCTTTGAAACTGGGGATCTGACAAATGGCAAACGAAATATCTAAAAAATCGGTAGATTTCTATGAGACTGGGAATCTGGGGGTTTTTTGGTTCGTTGAATACGCATCTTAAGTCATTTACTTAAAATTCAAAATGACAGATCCAACATGGCAAACGACATATTTAAAAAATCTTAACCCTTCATATATGAAAATTTTTTGTTAAAAAATTATACTTATAATTATAATTATACAAATTTGTTAAAAATTTAATAGAAAACTAGTTATCTAAATATTGTTTATGATTGTATATATCGCTTTTTATTTTGATTTTTATTTTCAGTTCACAATAACAATGACTTAGTACTTTTTAAAATTATTTAATAGAACAGCTAATTCTCTACTAAAAATAGTCAAGATCATAACTATGCGACACCCACATATTGGCAAGTTTTGACTACTTATTCTATTATTATTTAATCTAAATTATCTTTTCATAAAAATGTAGTTTGTTCTTTAACAAAAACAGTGTAAATCCAAGTTTCAAACTTTCAAGCTTTATGCAATATTTGAAAAAAAAAATCGTAAAAATTCCGATTGTTTTAATTAGGTTCCTTAGAAAGGTATTGAGTATACAGTTTTGTTGCCCATTCAATTTTTTTAGTTTATAAAGTGCAAGTTTATTTTTTGGAAATTTTTTTATATATGTACATATATTTGCGCTCCAGGTAAAGCTCAGTTAACCTGGTACTATACTTTTCATACCCCAGTTTCTTTGTAACTTTTAATCGACTGTTCGAAACAAAACTTTCTTGTGGAGGTAAAAATGTGGAAACAAATAGTGAATACAACGTCTTTTAAGAATGTTTTTAAGATCTTACGCGTATTGGCACTTTTGCCCGTTTAAATAGCTAATTAAGACCTACTTGAGAAATACCTCAGGTCAAGAAATATATTTACATTTTATAAAATACATTTTGCAGTTGACGAAGTTCTAGAAGAATTTTTCAAAAAACGAAGAAAAATGTGAAAAATCTTCGTTTCATTGATTTATAAGTAAAAAGAAAAATTGAATATGTTTAAAATTGTCGACATGTGTTATGAATAAAGCAAAAAATGGTATGCATTTATTTGAAAATTTCGCATACTTTTTCCCAAAAACCCATTGTCTAAACCCACATTACTGTACTATTATTCTTCGATTTAAGGGAGGGGTTTAATACCTCAACCCGCCGTCCCCCCTCCCCCGTGGATCCGCCACTGTTATATTTATATTCACCGACCCTAAAAACTCTTATATAGTTGTCATATAAAGTTTACAATAGTATAAATTCCTGTTAATCGGGCATGTGCTGCAAATCGTACGATTTGAAATCGGTGCGATTTGCAAACTATTTTTGAATATTTTTAAAGAAAGTAGTAAATATTTCAAATGGAAACGGCGAGAAACACATCATTTACTTCATATCTATCGATTCAGTGGCAAAATTTGCCGTTTTGTTAAGAAATCTCCAAAGTAGGTTTTGCAAATCGCACCGATTTGAAATCGTACGATTTGCAGCACATGCCCGAATAACTACTTTTGAATTTTGAGATTTGACATACCGTCACTAAAATGCAAATATCTATTTAAGCCAATTGTTTAGACATGATTATCGAACTTAACTGCTGCATTCCCGAAGGTGTAAAGAATAATATGCAAGTGGTTTTGTAACTTTTCCTACTCTTTAATTTGTTTTTTTTTGTTTTAACTCTGAATTTATAGCGAAATAAGTGTAATTTTTGGTTTATAAAGTCAATTTGCAATTATACAACCATTTGTGAGTGCAATTAGCTATATTATAAGTTAAATTTCAGTTTTTAAAATAGAGTTTTCAAATAGACGGCGTTGACTTACCCTTTATTTTTGTGTTTCCATATGCTTATTGCTTTTATCAAGGCAACTTCTATTTGAAAGTATTGTCGGGAATGTATTTCAAGTACCATTGAGTATTTTAAAAACAAATAAAAAGTTGACTTTCGCCCAGCTAGATCTGCTTTCCGAACCACTGTGCGTCATACGTGGCCCCTTGCTGCTCAAATTGAGCTGCCCCAAGGCACATCAGAGTCCGCCTGAGCAACTCAACACGACCGCACCGCACCGCACCACAACACAACACAGTACACCACACCAAAGACACAATAGACCACAGGCACAACCGCGCCACCACCCACACGCCGCCAACAACTCGTGGTTCCTCCAACAATCTGCTCGGAGTCTCAATTTTAAGGATTACAATTACGGTATTCGTAATCATATATCTCATGATTACGATTACAGTAATCTTAGTCAATAAATTTTTAAGATTACAATTATTATAATCATAATGGTAACATATATGATTACAATTAAAGTAATCGTAACCGTATATAATTTAAGGATTACGATTAAGCAATCGTAATTAAAATGTAATCGTAATCAAAAATCACCCAGCTCTGGTTTCTATGGCATATTCACTATAGATCCGGATCATTGTTGCCACCAGGGAACTTCTCATGGACATAACACTTTCGTTCGGTTATTTAAGGCGGCAAACGACCACCAAACCATAGTCTTAGCTGATTAATGTGCCTGTACAAATCGTTAATGTGTATTGTTGGAGAAACTGTTAGACCAAAGTGTTTAAATTAAAAATCTAATTTTGGGCGGGACGAAGTTCGCCGGGCCTGCTAGTTTCCATATAAAATTCAAAAAATTAAAATAATTTTTCATTTAAATAGGCTGTTACACCTTTAGTCCGGTCAAATTAGACCAAAAATAGGAGTGAAGTTACAAAAATTCCCATCATAAATGAAATCAAGAAAGGCCTCATCGATCCGATACCTGGAAAAAAAGTTACTCGGGGTCAAAGGTCACAAAAACGGGGGTTTCGCGATTTTCAGCAAAACGGTAAGTTTATCATAAAATTAGTTAAGACAAAAATTGTAGATCAGATAATTATCTATAACAAATGTCTAAATACTTTTTGTCCTAAGAGCCACCGTTTCCGAGATGTAACGATTCAAAAAGTTGGACGAGTTATATATATATATATTATAAGTTATTTGATCGCGCCCAATTAAATATACGTAAAAGATCTTCATTTATTCTACAGACTAGATCTTCTGACAATCCGATGGGCCGCGATAAATATATTTGCGTATCATCTGCATATAGATGTATTGTTACATTGCGGCAGCAATGCATTATGTATATACTATTATTAATAGTATTGGACCCAATATCGAACTTTGAGGTACTCCAGACGTAACCCGTTTTAGGCAAGATACTCTTTTCCCACACTGTACTTGTTGCAGACGATCAGATAGATAACTTTTCATAAGTTTTATTGCAAAGCTGCTGAAACCAAACATTTTTTTAAATTTCAACAGCAGTAGCTATGGTCAATTATATCAAAAGCCTTGCTAAAATCCAACAGCGCCATGATTGTTAAGTGGTTTTGGTCATATGCAGGACGAATATCTTCAAATATTTTTAACATAGCTGTAGTGCCACTGTGACTGAATTTTTTGGCAAAGTTGAGAAAACTTACCAGCTATGTTATAATTAGTGTATAATTAGATCTGATGATATCAAGCAGTTTTCTTGATGATCAATCTGTTGTTTTAGGGCATTCACTTCTTTTTTCAGATTTCCAACCTCATGACATTCCAGTTCAACTTTTTCCAATCGTTGTTAAATTTTCTTGAAAGCCAGCTTAAAATTAGTGAGATCTGCTGATATCTCTCCAATTCGCTCCACCACACGTTCCTCAGATGCCTTAATATTTGTTGTTATATGCTCCAATATACTCTCCTTCTGCGCTTGCAGTTTAGCATCGAGCTTTTGCAGCCAAACTGCCGACGGTGAGCTTTCATCTTTCAATGTGACGTTCGGGAGTATTTGCGGCGTTTGAGGAGAAGGGACAATAGCACGCGCAGATTTTGCTCTCGTTCCCATTCTATCTTTTTTCTTTTTCTCCTTTGGCGAAATCCGACAAGTTTAGTTAAATGAAGTTTGTTTTCGGCAGGAATTAATTAATTAATTACTTTAGCGCGTGAATTTTAGCGGAAATTTGACCGGCTCACTGTCAGACGGATGTTTTTTGAAAATTTGTATCGCAAATCAACTTGTGGAACAGTTTAAATAAATAATAATTGCAGCTACGTAAAAATTCGCGTCTACTCAGCTATCATGCTTCTCCTTTCTTTTTAAGGCGTACTGGGCCAAGATTCCAGAAAAGTTTGCCAGGGGCAGGTTTTTGCAATCGAAGTCTGTATTCGCGAATGTCTTCGTAGAAGGACAAATGGGGCCAGAATAAATATTGTACCGGATAGTCAGGCAGTATCTAAGGCGTTAGACTCTTTTAAAATGGCATCAAGGCTTGTGGACTCTTGAACCACCTGGGAGCCCACAATAGCTTAACGCTGAGGTGGGTTCCGGGACATGAAGGGTTTGAAGGCAACGAGAGGTCTGACTATCTCGAAAAGCGTGCAACACTTTGGAGAGCAATTCCTCTCCATATAAAGTTTGGAATATGACACCGTAAAAAAAAATTTTGGTAGGTTTTGGTGGATTTTGGTAGGGACAAAAATTGGTCGATATATCGATGGTTTTCGATGTTTCAAATTTTGTTAGGTTGTTGTCACATTAAAGGGAATATTTAATACTTTTCAATTCCAACTCTCTGTAATTCGATTAGAAAAAACTTATATATGGATGTATTTCCCTGTTATTATTTACTATTCCTTTAGCCTTCCTATAAATATAATAAAAATGCATGCCCTCGTAAGAACGCTGAGCCTTAAGTTGAAATTTCAACGGGAATCCTGTCCTTTTTATTAATTAAGTAAGCATTTTTTATATCGAAACATAAGAGTACACTCGGAATTTCTGAATTTTCCAAAAAAGAATAAGTAATAAAATTCCTCGCCAGTCAAACAATTTTAAGAGCATAAGGCATAAGTTGAATTCAAGTCACACTAAAGTCGATGTTAAAACATCGCTGAAACTGGCATCGATGTATTGTCCATTTAGCGAGTTTGGGAAATTGTAAACATCGAATTTTGAACCGATATTATCGATGTTTCAAAAATATCGATGCATCATTTGCATCTCTACGCGCATCACTTAATGGAAAAGCGGCGACAGCTAATCACCGAAATTTATGCGAATTCTTGCTTTTTATAAGTGCGTACCCAAAAGTACATATGTAGTACATGTGTGACCGCGTACTTCCTATGCTGAAGTGTTTTACAAAAACAATAGTGCACAAGTGCTCACCTAAATGAAGTGTGATATGTTTCCTTGTTTGTCTTGCTTTTGGCTTAGGATCTACGATTTCGCCTGCAGCCGGAATCCAGCTGTCGCTATCGCAAAAACTCCATCGCCAAAAAATGCTAAATTAATTTTAGCAATTTTTAGCGTTTTTGCGATTCTATCTTAAAAAGGCATCACTAAAAATCTCAATTTTTTATTCATTTTGTGGCAGATTTTAGCGATGAACAAAATTAACCGGATAAAGTGAATGAACTATTTTGACAGCTCATATAGCTAAAATTGAGATTCCAGCGTATTTTGCATCGTTAAAAATCGCTATTTTTCGCTTAAACAAGTTAAAAATTGGCGACGAGAAAAAATTACTGCTAAAAAATTTATCGACAAATCACAGCAAATTTTTCTATTCTATTTCTATTGTTGTTCGTTTAAACCAGAGCTGTTAAATTTCCACTACGATTAGTAATCATTATTTTTTTTTGCATTTTTTAATTTTAATGATTATTTTAATTTTCTTACATAACCCAGCCATTAATAACACAGGTCCACAAAAAAAATTGATGAAAGGTTTCTCTGTCACATAAAATCCCAGATGTTTTTTGAGGTTAGAAACAAATCTAGACGTGATGAAGCAAAACGGACCTAAGATTCGTGTTCAGCGACCCAAAAAACATATAATGGGCTATCGATGAAAGGTTCCTTTGACCAAACCTAGTCTATCATATGTTTTTAGGGTCGCTGAACACGAATCTGAAGTCCGTTTTGCTCCATCACGTCTAGATTTTTTCCTAACCTCAAAAAACACCTCGGAATTTCTCTGTCACGTAAAATCCGGGATGTTTTTTGAGGTTAGAAAAAATCCAGACGTGATGGAGCAAAACGGACTTCAGATTCGTGTTCAGCGACACCAAAAACATATAACAGACTAGGTTTGGTCAAAGGAACTTTTCATCGATTTTTTTTGGTGGACCTGTGTAATTAATTATTAATTATCAAAAATAATCATGATTTATTGCCATTAAAAAAATAATTAAATAATTAGAAACAATCAACTAATCAAAATTAATCAAATTGATTTTTTAATTATTTCATTATTTTAAATTGTTTGATTATTTTTAATTGTTTGATTATTTTTAATTATTTGATTATTTTTAATTATTTGATTGTTTTTAATCATTCCATTGTTTTTAATTATTAGATTATCTTTAATTATTTGATTATTTCTAATTATATGATTGTTTTTAATTATTTTTCTAAATAAATTGTGTTGTTTACCTGAAAACAGTATAAGGGGAACTTTTTATAAAGTTTTAAACAGATATTTTTGGTGTTCTTGGTCAAAGAATCCTTTTCAATGGTAGCAGGAACCGAAAAAGGCATTTTATATATTTTGTAAGTACATTGTTTTTAGGTCAAAAGAAAGACAAAAAATTAAAAAGTTTACTTTTGAATAAATAATTACGTTGGCCTTTAAAATTAAAAATTTAGTTTTTTTGTCATTCTTCTGACCTAAACACAGTATATAATGAACTCAAAACAATATACGAAATGCCTTTTTCGATTTCTGCTACTATTGAAAAGGATTTCCTGATGCAAGAACACCAAAAATATATGTTTAAAACATTTTTAAAATTTCACCTAATACTGTTTTCAGGTAAAAAATTAAAACAATTGAGAATCCCCTAATTTGAAGGTGAAGGCAACTTTTTTTTTATCCAACGAAATTATTTTTCATACTACAACATTAACCACAGAAATTACATTCCCGAACATTGTACAATATATTATTCGCAAGTTGAAATAAAATTAAAAAACAAAACACAAAAATAATCAAATAATTATATTAATCGTATAACTAAAAAAAATTAAAAACAATTCAAAATAATCAAATAATTATATTAATTGTGCAATTAAAAAAAATCAAAAATAATTGAAAATAATCAAATAATTATATTAATCATGTAATTAAAAAATTTCAAAAATAATTGAAAATAATCAAAAATAAAATAATTATGTAATTAAAATTAATTAATAAATTAATGAATTTTTTTTTGAAAATAAATGATTATTAATCATTGGAAAGGTATTTAATCATTAAATGGTTACCAAAAAAACGTGATTATTAATCATTATTTAACAGGTGTGGGTTAAACTACTAACAATATAGAAAAAACATTGTATTATTTAATAGGAAAAATGAAAAACAGCAACGGAAGAGGGACCAAAGAACAAAAGTTCATTTTGGAACGAATTTCCGTCATTCCTTGTCAAATTTGGTTCGTTCTCCGAAAAATGACACTGAAGATGGTACAACGCCGAAACCGTTCCAAAATACATTATACACCCACCTTGTCGGAAACAACAAACACCAAAAAGGAAACAAAAGTTTACGCTTGTAAATATTCTGAGCTTAAATGAAAAAAGAAAAAATGGAGATGGTTTCTTAAATCGATTAATTATAGCTACATTGAAGTTCTTAAATAAAAAAAAAATATATATATAGACTACATGTTGTCTGGCAGGTATGCCTTGAGCAGAGATGCCTATCATACTGTCATCATAAAACATTTCATTTTCACATAATTCTCGTCCTATATTATTTATAATGCAAATGCTAATGCTGCTTTGCGACA